TTATGAACAGGCTTATTTAGAATTTTCATTACCATAACTAAGTTAAGAAAATACACTCCTGAAAGAAAAGTCATATTCCTGGAGCCGATACACTGGATCTTTTTCCCAAAGGGAAAAATAAAACTATTTTAAAATTTAGTCTTTGCAATGCTGTTTTGCATGTTTAATTATACCCAGATAATAATATGAAATAGAAATTATTTGGATCTGTCATGCAAAAATGTGTGAGTGTTAGTGTGTGTACGTGTGTTTATTCATGTGTGTGTGTGTACTCATGAGTGTGCCTTCACATGTATGTGCACATATGTGAGTGCATGGGTGTGAGTGTGTTTATACATCTGTGTTGAAATAAGTCATTTAAGAATTCAATAATGGGACTGGAGAGATGGCTCAGCAGTTAAGAGAACTGCTCTCCCAGAGGACCTAGGCTCAGTTTCCAGTACCTATCTAGCAGCTAACAACCACCTGTAACTCAAATTCCAGCGTTATCTGACACCCTCTTCTGACCTTCATGAACATTTCATGCATGGGTACACTTAAATACATGTAGGCAAATCACTCAAATGCATAAAAGTAAATAAAGATTATTTAAGTTAAAAAAGAACATTTGCATTACTTTTTAGAAGAATGAGCAGGAAAACAGAAAAATAAGTAGACAATGTAAAGTTTACCCAATAATGTGAAGAGGGATTCCAGTCCACTTCTAAAGTTGACTTCTATTTGTTCCTTGGCAGGTGAGATGAGATTGTAACTAACAATTATGTCATTTATGTTATCAAACTAGGAACAACCAACAATGAATTATCCAACATGCCCCTCGCACCAGCAGTTACTTCACCAGCAACAAATAAAAGTGAAGGTGAGTATTGATGCATGTCTATTATTTATTTATTTATTTATTTATTTATTTTATTTTATTTTGTGTGTGTATGTGGCCAGGAAGTGGGGCTCATACATGCCACAGAATGTATGTGGCGGTCAGAAGACAACCTATGAGTGTCTGTCACCATGTGGGTCTCTGGTTGTCAGAATTGGAGGCAAACACTTTTACTCACTGAATATCTTGTTTGAGTACTATCAGGCAATATACTAAAAACAAATTTACAAATAATTATAAATTATTTTTAATAAAATGACTAGAGAAAGAAACTCGCTAATAATACCCTGATTCATTTTTTTCCTCCATTTAAATTCTGGAGTATCCATGGCTACTATATATAAATAAAACCTTATTTTTCTATTTCGTTTTTATTAAATTATTGTGAATTTCATACAATACATCTTGATCACATTTAGACCCCTTCCCCTATCTGCAACACCCCCAATAGCCTTCCCACCACATATGCATTCACTCATATATGTTAAGGCCTATCACTCCAAGTTTATGTCTCTAAATGTCCCTCAGTGTGAGTTCATTCACTGGTCTACCTAGCCAGCATCACTCCCATAAAGAACACTAACTCTCCCTCTCCCAGAAGTCACAGATTTGCAATAGTTCCTCAGCTAAGGTTGGGGCTTCTCACGCATTTCCTCACTTCTATGCTGGACTTTGTCTGGTTTGAGCTTGGATGGGTCTTGTGCATGCTGCCACCATTGCTGAAGGTTCATATGAGCAACTCCCCAGTTGCCTGAAAAACTCTGCTTCCTGTGGTCTTCTACCATCCCTGGCTCTTACAATCTTTCTGCACCCTCTTCCATGATGGTCTCTGAACCTTGAGTAACAGAGGTTTGATATAGGTGTTCCATCCAGGGAGAAGCATTCTACAGTCTCTTAGTCTCTGCTCTTTGGCCAGTTGTGGCTTTCTAGGTTGAGCATCATCTGTTACATGAAGAAGCTTTGCTGGTGAGAGTTGAGAGATGCAATAATATTCTTTCTGCCTCCTGTTCTACTATGTTCCCTGAGCCTTAGGTGTAGAAGTTGCACTGTAGATGTGTCACCTAGGACTTGGCATCTCACAGACACTTATTCTCTGTTTGACCAATTGTACAACTCTGTAATATCTGCATCTGTTGCAAAAAGAAGCTTTTTGATGAATGGTGAGAGGTACCCTGGTCTATAAATATAAGGATACATATTTCAAATACAGGAAGAAATCATATTGGTCTAGGATGTGACAGGTGCTAAGTTTTACCCTAGGATCTATGACCTCTCCAGTCATGTGTATTTGGCTATGTTTACAGTACCACACATGAGTTTCCTCCCACTGAGCAGGCCTTAAGTTCAAATGGACAGCTGTTAACTACCACATGTAGATCAATGGAACAAAATAGAAGACCCAAACATGAGTGCATGCAATTTCAGCCACCTGATATTTGACCAAGGTGTCAAGCAAGAGTACAAACTGGAGGAAAGACAGCATCTTCAACAAATGTTGCTGGCAAAACTGGACCTCCATATGCAGAACAGTGAAATTAGGCATATATTTATCACCCTGAGAAAAAGTCAACTCCAAAGACCTCAGTGTGAAACCTGAAATACTGAACTTCTTAGAATACAAGGCAGTGCCATACAAGATACAGGTGCAAGAAAGGCCTTTCTAAATCAGATATCAGTCCCTCAGGAATTAAGGTCAACACCTGACAGATGGGACCTCATTAAGCTAAAAAGTTTCTGTAGAGCAAAGAAAACAACCAATTAAGTGAAGAAAGTCTCAAAGTGGGAAAAAATCTTCACTAGAAATGCATTTGACAGAAGATTACTATCCAGAATATACAAAGAACTCAAAAACAAAGATGAATAAAAAGGTCTAATTAAAAGATGGGTTATTTCTGGATACATAGTCAATCTTATCTAAAGGAATATTGACAACTGATTGCTGCTAGATTAGGAACAGCTGACCTTCCTAAAACAAAGCCCTCTAGATAGGCTGACTAGATTTACCAGATGGACAAGTAGTGGGGAACAGCTGGGGGTGCTGACATCACAGCGGACAGTAGTAGGGATAACAGAGTATAAGGGCTCTAGTTGGGGGAGGGAGGCTATGGGTGGGTGCTATATGAGAAGTGGGCATACAGTTGAATAAGATGGTTTGGGATGTTCTGTGTGATATACACACAAAAAAAACCAAAAAATTTTTAAAAATGAATTATATTTGAGGAGGAAGCATAAAAAGTTACATCATGTTAATTAGTGGAGGTGATAAACATAACCATTGAAATCTACCTGATGACTTTATAGATATACACAGGTGTCAAGGATCTGAGTGCAACCTATTATGACTAGAGATGCATGCGTCAACATCTCAGTGTTATTAGCGAAAACAATGAATCTTTCTGTAAGAAACAATATATTTTAAAATGAAATGGAGGTCTTTTTTAAAGGTTAAAAACTCATCCAATTTTATGTCTTACAGGGCTTATACTGAGTTCAATATTGTATAACTGTATTAATTCAATTGTGAACCTAAAAATTTTATAGCCACTTTTGAAAGAGATGTATCTTTGCTCTGGAAACTGTTAATGAGTATGTTAAAGCTGTAATGAAATGCTTCTTCTAAAAAAAATGGTGGGTCATGGATCTGAACAGAGAGCTCTCAGAAAAAGAAATAAAAATTGCTAGGAAACACCTTTAAAAATGTTTAATATCCTCAGTATTAGGGAAATGCAAATCAAAACTACTTTAAGATTTTATCTAATCCCAGTCAGAATGGCTAAGATCAAGAGACTAAATTACACTAAATGCTGGCATGGATGTTGGAAAGGGGGAATTCTCATTCACTGATGATGGGATTACAAACTGATGCAACCACTGTGGAAATCAGTGTGGAGAACTCTTTAAAAATTAAAAATAAATCTACCATAAAATCTGATTATACCACTCCATAGCATATACCCAAAGGACTCATCCTACTGCAGAGATACTTGTGCATCCATGTTTGTTGCTACTCTTTTCATAATAGTAAGAAATGGAAACAACCTAAATGTTCATCAGCTGATGAATGGATAATAACAATGTGGTACATTTACACAATGGAATTCTACTCAGTGTGAAATAAAAATGAAATCATGAAATTTGCAGATAAATGGACAGAACTAGAAGTTGTTATACTAAGTAAAGTAACACAGTCTCAGAAAAACAAGTGATGCATGCTCTCTCTCATTTGTGGATCTTAGCTCCAAATCCTGAAATTTGAGATTGTATCCTGCTATAATCACTAGAATCAGGAAAAGGAACCATGGGGATAAAGGGAAAGGAGCTGAAGAGAAGAAGAGGGAGACAGGAATTATCCAGGCTAAAATGGGGGGTATTTTAACTGGAGAGAGAGAAGGGAGGCTATACAGGGGCTGGGAGGGCAGAAGAGATAGATAGTACTTAGAGAGTATGAAAAACCAGAAGGAAATGTATGAATGTATTAGTTCAAAAACCTACTGAAAAACACACATACAGTATATATACATGAGTGCATGTGCATAGCTGAAAACTCTATAAAAAAGACAATGTCACTCAGAAGAAACCTCCCCTCAAGTTGTTGGTCAGAGTAGTTCAAGAGACTCCCCAAATAACAGAGCTTATCACCACAGCCCTTAATTGCCTCTCTTGAAGGTAAGACCCTATAGCTGAAGACAGAACATACTTCAGACACAGGATTTGGAGCAATCAAGTTGGAACTGACCTGGGAGCCTCCTCTCTGAAGACTAGACTCATAGTATCAGAATAGTATGCAAGCTGCCAAGAGAGAAAACCAATGGTCCTACCCAGCCATGAAGCCTAATAAACACAACAATGACTGGTCCAGCAATCTCTGTCTATTATTGCAGTAGTGGTATAATTTATTTTTTATATTAGCATCTGGTGACACTTTGTTTAAAGGACACCTTTTTTTTCCTAATTATGAGAGAAAGCTGTCACAGATACACACCAGCAACAGCCTAGGCATTATGACACTCCCTGGGCTCACCTTAGATCCTTCCACATCCTGCAGGGTGAGGATGTTGCTCTGTGAGCAACCTCAAAGAACCTTTGACACCTGCTTTACCCAACAGCATCTAAGAAACAGAGGAAATAAAAATCCACACAGAAAGCTGTCCCGCGTTTCTCCTCCCAGATGTTTAAATCTGCTCCCCTTCCATCACTGTTCTTTCCTCTTCAGAACCCTTGGACCTACTCCAGCCTCGCTCCAGTGTCCTGAGCTCCTCTTCCTAGTACTGAAATTCTGGAGGAAATGAAGTCTTGGTTTGACCCATTTCCTTCACATTTAGTTTTCTCCTCTTGGTCTTAGCACTGAAGTTTGTTGACAGTCTTCACCCTAAAAAGGGAGGCCAAAAGAAACTTCAAAAAGCTTTCGCTCCAGTCTCTGCCACTGGTTAGATACACCTTCCTAGGATTCTTAGTATACAGATTTAGAGAACCCACCATCTTACCATAAGAAGCTCTTTAGTGTCATCCCAGAAGACGTTGAAATGAATCAAGACATTGCATTAATTAAATCTGTCTCGGACTCACTTATTACGAAAACAGAATTTCCATGAAACACTCACTCTAAATAGTTCTTGAAAATGGATCTTAGCTATTACTCTAAGAAATACCTTTATCCTCCTAGGAATTTTAAGCACAGTAACATGTTTTTAAAAATAATAGCAGTACTAATATAAAGACTCCATCAGCCCTGTAGAGATGGCTCAGCGGATAAGAGCACTTACTGCTCTTACAGAGGAACTGGGTTCGATTTCCAGCACTCACATGGTGGCTATGAACCATCCTTAACTCCAGTTCCAGGGGAATTGGAAGCCCTCTTCTGACCTCTTTGGCATTGCACAACACAGGTACACTCACATACATGCAGGCAATACACTCATACACATAAAATAAAAATAATAAAATATTTTTTAAAAGAATCCATGAAATGTTTTAAATCTGTG